GTAACAGCAATTCAAAAATAAAAAAATGAAACCTAACAAACATATGGTTTAGATAATGGAAGATTTAGTATCTTGGACAAAAAGAAAAAGACAAAAGATATGCAAGATCAGAACAAAAATATCCATATCTCTAAAGCTCTTTCCATCTTTTGAAGACAGGATTTTTTCGGACTCATGGCCTGCAGTTTTGGATTTAAGCCTACTTATTTATAGTATCATTTAGATGGCCCAAAGTGCACTAACCCAAAGAAAATTTATTTTTTAATCTAATTAATTTTTTAAAAATAAAAAAGACATGTTTAAATTTCAAACAAAATTTTTAACAGTTTAAAAATATCTTTTTATAATGGTATTTTTTGTAGGAACATATCCTTTTGGTATGTGTCTTTTTATAAAAGATATCATTTAATCTATATATGCATTTGAATAATATAAAATTTTTTAACAAAATATATATTCTATACTTAATTTTTAAAAAGTTTATAAATTCTATTATACCTTAAAAAAAATTTTAAATCCTTAAAAAAATAGGAGACAACACGTTGAAACCTTTTTTATTCTTTCTGTTGTCTTGTATATTTTCCTAAGACAAAGAAACATTGCAACCCTGGATGAATAATTCCTGCCCATCTTGACAACTCCAATTCAAATAATTCTGAATTTGCAAATCCCAATAAGCCCCACGCTATCTTTGAAAAATGGCAATTAAACTCCACACAATCTTTGAAAAATGGCAATCTATTAGCAGATGAAGATTCGAACGGAAGTGGTGAGAATATTGTTCCCCTTTTTAATAGCCACACAAACATTTGAATCCTCTCCGCTAGTCCTACGAAACGGGTAGCTTGGCCAGGTTTCCGGTTGGGTTGTAACTAAATCGTGAGTTGGTAAAAGTTAACCTTAATTTGACTTTAACGGATTACACGTTAACTTATGGGTTAATTTTATTTCTATTTTTTATAATAATTTTATAAATTTTATTATATATAAATAAAATCATATGTATTTAAATCAAATTAAAATTTAAAATTTTAAAGCACTATAATTCATTAATATTAAATACTTTTTAATTTTCATTGCAAATATTTAATTAAAAATATCATAAATTTATATATAAGAATAAGTTGATTAACAATATTAAACTTAAAATAATAAAATTTTTTAGAAAAAAAAATAGTTTGAATTTTGTAATTATCATCTTGGAAACATACTTTATCAAGGAGTTTAAACTTCTCCTTAAGATGAAATTACCCTTCTAAAAACATCTTTCACTAAATTGTTATGTTTGTACCCTAACATCACATCTTCAATATTTGTAATCATATTATCATTTAATTCATAATATTTCATAATTAAATTAAACCCATATAATTTCTAAAGAAGGAAAAAAAAATAATGATGAGTAAATACTCAAAATAAGTTTAAAATCGAGTAATGGAGAAGAGATTAAAGAGCATGAATCAATAGAAAAAGTTAATAATCAAAAAATTAATTAAGAATAATAAATATAATATTTTTAAAAATAATAAAAAAAAATAAAACAAACAACTCAACTTATCAACTGCAGATTCACCCAAATCCAATCCAAGTTAGGGCTGGGCGTTTGGGCCAGAAACTGTAAAAAAAAAAAGAAAAAGTGCCCGCCCGCAACCGCAACCGCAACCGCAACCGACGGGTCAGGTTTTTTTGACATTTGATTGGGCTGGGCCTCCGTTGCGGTTGCAACCGAGAGCCCAGGCGGGCGGTTGGCGGTTCCTAAGCCCAAGAACCGACAACCGCATGAGTAGGCCCGAAAAACCGAAAAGTCCAACCCTTTTTTATTTTTTGTATTTGTATTCTGAATACTTTTATATAATTTTTTAATCTTTCACGTTCTTGTATGCAAGAGTTCCGCCTACAACATTTGACTTTTTAATTTTTCACTTAAAATTTTTGAATTTCATCATTAATTGATTCATTACCTTACTTTAATATATTTTATTTTTTTATTAATGTGAACTTTTTCTCCTAATCATCTAAATGATTAAATCTAATCTAATTATTTATCATCTAATTTGTAGACTAAGTAATTAATATATTTTGCCGACGGAATCTTTTCTTTCTTTTTTTCAATTAACTCTATAAATAATTATAAATTATTTTTAAAAAAATAATTAATATATATTTTTATAATTAATTTACATAAAAATTAATAAAAATTTATATTTATTTTAATATTATTAATACATAAATTATTTTAATTATTTATTCACTTTTTTTTTTCTCATTTCACATCACCACTCCCCACCCTCCCCACCGATGGTACTGCAAATTTTCTCCAGTTCTCCTTCTCCTTCCACTTCACTTAAACCCATTTTCTTTAACTCTCCTTTCCTTCCTCAATAGAGAAACTCCTTCCCCTCCTCAATAGAGAAAATCTGTTCTACATCTCTAATAGTTCATTCCTATTAGTTTCTTCTCTTGATTTCATTCTTTTTTTTCCAGATCTAGAAACAAAGAATCACTTAGTGATTTTTTCCTCTCTCTTCTCAGTTGTTGTAGCTGCCATCTCCTACTTCCATTGACTTTCTCATACCAGATTCTCTCATCATTCTTCCCTCATCTCCAATGTCTAGCTTGCATTTCTGCCATCAATAAGCCATTCTGAATAACGGTTGAAACCCGAAACTGAAACTAAAACAAACGAGACCGAAACATCCAAAACTGCAAAAATTAAAACATTAGAGTGTAATTTTCAGGTTCTAAAATTAAGAAACCGACATCTCAGTTAACTGGCATCTCGGTTGCGATTGTAACCGAAACCGCCCAACATCCACCCCAATCCAAGTTAATATAGATCCTAACAACTTTTCACAGAACGCGTTTTCACGAATTGAGTTAGGATCAGGTGCCGTCACTACTCTCAGCACGCCAACGTCGATGATTCCTACAGAATGAACTGCCTCCAAAATTCCATTCACGTGACAGATGCCGTTTTTAGCTAGCCTAGGAGAGGCTGATGAAGTTGTTGATGTTGGGCAAAACGCCTCCTTAACCCTCCAAATTTATCCTAAAATAACATTTAAGTTCTTAAATTAAAAATAAAGTAGATAAGCCCTCCAACTCTACTAATAATGCAAAGAAGTTCTTCTCACAAACTGGTCAAATGGTATTTCATGTTTAATATCACCTTAAAAGCATGAATACCTATGAATAAGAAGGATTTATTTACATTATTAATGAAATTAGATGATTTATCTACTTTATTTTTAATTTAAAGGTTTAAATGTTATTTTGGAGTAAATTTGAGAGATTAAGAAAGGTTTTTGCATGTTGATGGCTGATTGAAGGGCCAACGAATCCAGCCAAAGAAACGTGGTTAACGATGGTATGGATCCCTCGATCCTAAACTAAATAGAATTTTTAATTTAGTTCTTAAAATTTAAAATTTTGGTCATTTTTGGTACTTCTGTTAATTTCTTGCTAACATAGAACGTTAGTTAACTGCAGAATTATTTTTATTTCATAACAGCAATGACGTTAAAATGATCCGTACATAAAGTTAAATAGTTTAACGTCACTACTAGAAAAATGAGGTATACGGACAAGACATATACGGACTGAATAGTGTCAGTTTGAAAAAATAAATATACGGATTAATATCGATCCGAATATTTTCAGGTGGTACAAAATATATTGAACAACATATTTGAATCGGTATCGATCCGTATATTTTTGGTGGGTATCCACAGTATACAAGCGCCAATAATATTCAGACCGAAAATGGTCCGAATATTATTTCTGAAAAAAATAAATATTAAATAAAAATAAATATGAATAAAATATTATTTAAATAAATAAATTATTTTTTTAATAAATATATACGGACCGAAGTCGGTCAGTATATTATGTTGAAATCTGCAAACATTAATTTATTATACAGACCGATATCGGTCTGAATATTTTCAGGCGGTACAAAATATCTAAACAACATATTCGGACCAGTATCGGTCCGTATATTTCTGGTGGGTATCCACAATATAAAAGCGCCAATAATATTCAGACCAAAAACGGTTCGAATATTATTTCTGAAAAAAATAAATATTAAATAAAAACAAATATGAATAAAATATTATTTAAATAAATAAATTATTATTTTTAATAAATATATACGGATCGAAATCGGTCCGTATATATTATGTTGAAAACTGTATACATTAATTTATTATACGGACCCATAGCGATCTGAATATATATATCCGGACTGATACTGGTATGAAAATGTGCATCAAGAAATATCTGAATTGATTGGACACTGGGGCCCACTTGCTTTGTTTTCGGACCAGTATCGGTCCGAATAAAGCTGCATGCAGCCTTCTTCTTCGCCAATCGCCAGTCCCCCCCCCATTTTGTCATTTCTCCACAATTTTCCTCTGTTTTTTCTTTCTTTTTTCTTCCTCTCCGCTGCAAGCTTGTCCTTCTCCAATCTCTGGCCAACCACCAAGGTAAATTACTCTTTTCAGCCAGTTTTTGGCTGGCGATCTTGCTGGTGCAA